CAGTACTACAAGTTTTGTCGCAATGAAGACGTCTGGGATGAACTGCGTCATGGGGTTAGAATTTCCTTTCATCTATTGCATCATCACACACACAGCCCAAGGAAGCGTCTTCCAAAGCAGGCAAACGGCCAAACAGTAGCCGTACGGTAGTCACAGAACTTGCATTACAGTTTCACTTTTAGAGCAACAGTGTGCCCTAGCCGGCTGGCCACTAAACGGACGTACGGTAGTAGAATTGTGGGTGGCAGCGTTCTAAGTAAAGGAATTAGAAAGGCAGTCGTGTGGGACTACCAGCCTCCCTGTAAGTATCCGCCAGACACGCACATACGCACTCAACTTCAACAGGAGTGCCTGTCATAACAACTCACACAAAAGGCCGTGCTGGCGGACCAGGTTCTCAGGTTGCCCGGGTTAGAGAGGACTTAGGGTCGCGTGTGCACGAATTCGGGTGCATGCGGTTTCACTCAGAGTTTTTTTGCAGGGGCGTTAGTGCTAACAAAACGCGGGCACACACGCACTGTAGGGCTAACGCACGCGGTAAGTGTGGACTGATTGATCACTGACGGCCAGGCAGGGCTGTTGGCATTTCTGGAAAATATCCGCATTAACAGGTCCACGGGGAAGAGGTTCGCGCTTGATGCTGTCATGTAGGTTTTACTCAAAATACATATTTGGCAGATTGAGGTAGAAGTAAGGAACGTGGCCCTACATCCGCTCAGTCGCATAACACTAAGAGGACTAGTACCAGTTAGCTTTGGAAAGTACACGGCACTTCAACTTTTGCAAGCGGCAAACCTCATCATCCCCTCCCCAAAGGGGGCCTACAGTCTTGGCTTACTTTTAAGCTCGCCTACAGCGAAGTAGACATGTGCTGCATGTATCTCACTCCCTCATGCACCCACCGTGTTCCTAGGGCAGGACAAGAGTAAAATGGCTGAATTTGGACCTGGGCGCAGTGTCTGGCAAGACCAAACAGCGCACTTAGCCCTAATCCCACACCTAGCAGGTTTCATTAGGGGGCTTATCAGATCCCACATGAGCGAGAGCGTCAGAAACGCCATACAAATAAAGGATCATTGCAATTAAACGGCGGTTTTGTGTACATGTAAGCCATACCATCAGTGGTCAACCCTTAGGACCACGATTTTTAGCGTACGACTGATAGTTTCAAAGCGCATTTGGTTGGCTGTGGTGAGGCCGTAGGCACTAGATCTAAACTTCAGTCACAGTTACGTCTCCTGCGCAACTGTCCAACTAGGGCCGTCTGGGAACTGATCCGAGTCTGGTGGCTGACAAGAAGTGAAGGCGAAGTCTTTCATGGGAGTTTCGATACCTATTCAGGGTCATAAAGGCCACTGTATGAGGGAGTCTTTGCAGTCTGACCATTGTTCCATTGGAGGAAAAACTTATTCAGTCAGCTTGAGATCTTCCAGGCCACAATCCGTAACGTATCCTGATGGGTTTCAATGCGTCATATTTAC